TCTTCCCAAAGCAGTTTTTTGTGTTAGTTGAAGGACCACGTGCATGGTCAAGAACTATTTCTCCTTTTACAGGATTTGGGTCCCACATGATATGAAGCAAAATGCTACCTAATGATAGTTACATTTGACACTTTCATGGCACCCTTCAATCAAAAATTGTAAAGGATTAAAAAATCACTAGGTAATTCTCTTATGAGAGAGATGTGTTATAATTAATTTGTAGGGGAAAGTATGTCTTTATAAAGGTTCTATTGTTCCCCATCACTCATGCTGATTATAATAATCGGTTTAGTCTTTATGAACCTTATGATCAGTATCATTGCCTCCAGTTCTCCCCTTTAAATCCTGGAGGCTGCTGGTATTGCACACACTTGGTATGGAAGGGAGAGGAACGTCCCTCAGCCCCATCAGGCCCCTGGATTCCCAAGCCTGTGTACACCAGATGCCCTTAGGAGTGACACAGTCACCCCAGCTGCCATCCTCCTAACTGGGGAGCGGACAAAAAGAAACCTCCACAGCATCCAAACATACTTTGTCCATATCTCAGGTGCAGATGAAGCCCGGGGCGTCCTGGAATCAATGTGTCACGGCAACACATTCCTGGGCTCTGCCCCTCCCTCCTCTGGGTCACATTCCCTCTGGGATTAAGTGGCTGTGTAGGTCAGGCTTGCTTTATTACAATCTATTATTATTTGTGCTCACCTTTAAAAGAAAAATAAGGAAAATGTATATGGACAAACATTCCATACCGATTCCTTCTATGTCATTACATCGTTTTATATAATCCTGAAAGTCTTAATACACACACCCAACTACACTGTGACTATAAACTAAGATCGTTTTTTTCTTTTCTTTTCTTTTCTCTTTCTTTTTTCTGTTTGCTCTTCCACAAATCTCTAAACTTCATGCATCCAAATCGGTTTTGGCTTCTTTGAAGGGGAGTTACAGTCACATGGTGAGCACTCGAAACAGCATGGAATAAAGGTCTAGGCTTCCACTGTGTGGTCACATATATTCTGGCGTGCTTGTTTAAAAACACCTGTCTCCATATTGATGGTTCCTGTGTGAGTGTGTGTTCATGGTGTGTAGGTGTAAAGTGCTGTCTGAACAACCTCAGATCCTGAGTGCCGCCACTGGGTTGCAGTTTGCCTGTTAGTGTTGCTTCAGACATCTCTTCTGTAAACATCCAGAGACCCCTTCAGTACTGTATCCAAGAAGAGACCCCAAAACTTAGTCCGCATCCTGCGGTCAACTCTTGTTGGCCCTTTTTTTTTCTGTTTACTTTAGCCTCAACCCTTCCATGCCCCCTTGCTCTCCTACCCACACAAGTGTCCCTTCCCACCTCACCTACCTGGCCTGCTCTCCTCTCCTTACTTTCTGGCTATAAATAAACATATATTTGTAGAATGAATTGATGAACGAAGGAGAGAACCACGGACACCCTGTCCACACATGACCAACTAGTGTTCTTAAGCAACAGCTGTTTCCCTGAGGCCTGGGCTGCTATCACTGACGCAGAAGAGACAGGATGGTATGCATAGTAGAAAGCTCCAAAGCTTTACAGCCAGAAGGACCCAGGTTCAAATCCTGGCTCTGCTACTTAGTAGCTTATGTAAACTACAGCAAGTAATTTCTCCTTTCTGAGCCAATTTCCTCATCTGTAAAATACAGCTAATGCCCACTTCATAGAGTGATAAAGGGGATTGGAGGTAATGTGTGTGTGCTAAATGTCTGTCATATAGGAGAAACACAATCAATGTTGTATGTTCTAATGACGTCTGTGGTAACTGCCGTTTCCCACCTCCCTCCTTGACCTGCACTGCTGACTTGGGGGAGAAAGGTAAGAAGGAGACACATTCTTCACTCTGTCGAACCCTTGTCATCCACGTGCCGCGTGTTTACAGACCCTCTAAATCCGTCACTGAAATTAACCCTTATCTGACTGGCCACTTAGTTTCTCAATCCCCGGGGAACCCTACTGCTGCTTGGGAAAAGCTTGGGCTATAATCTTTGTCTAGTAGAATGGCTGTTACGTAGCACCATCACCTCAAGTGAATCCTCAATATGGCCTCCACATTATTTGTTTCAACAGGTGAGAGATCAACGGCATCTCTTTCATTACACAACTTCTGTGTTCACATCACTGTGCTGGGATTGTTGGCTCCTGTCAGAGACTGAGAAGCACCTTAAAGACGCCACCGTGTGAAAGCCAAACATACAAAAAGTTCAATAAAAACTGCCTGGGGTGACAGGGAAGGTGCTATCACAATGCAACTAAATTGCTCAAACCCAGCCTCTGCTTCTGCCTCTGATGCCTGTCTGCTCTCGCTGGTTCTGAATTTTATTTCATCTCTAGATTGTGGATTTCTGACTCCACCAGGAATGACCTTAGATGCTGTGTCAGACCCCTCAACACTAGTCCTAAGACTACCCTCTCACTAAACAGGAGTCATAATAACATCAATAGAGACCATTTATTAAGGACCTCCTCTGAGCCAGGGATTGTGCTAGGTGCTCACAGCTTAGGTTCCTAGATTATGGTCTAAACTTGATGTCTAAGTGAGAGCATCTGATACTGACCCAGCACAGCCCTAGCCTCCCACTCTGCCCAGCCTTCTCATTCCAGGAGCTGACCTCAAGGGATTGTATAGCCCAAAACTATAAACTGGTTTATCGGCCAGTTAAATATGTGTCAAGCACCCACAGTTTGCCCAGCCTGTACTAGGCACTATGGGAAATACCAAAGAAGTAAATGACATGATCCCAGGCTCTAAGGAACTTCAAATATTCTAAGCAAAAAAAGACCAGCTCATGTGAAGTCATTAAAGATAAACATGAAACAGGGCAATTGAGTCCAGTTCTCAACCATGCACAGCAGAGTCTCCAACCTCTTAAGGAGAGCTTGCCTCAGAAGGGTGTACCCTCTCAAATACTGTTGATAGAAGAGGAAATTGGAAAAATATTTCAGTAAGGCTGTTCAGTAGTATCTCTTAATATTTTTACATTATATAACCATTGACCCAACAATCCTACTTCTATTGAGAAATACTAGCACATATGTTCAAAGATATATGTACAAAGATGTTCACTATAACATTGTTCGTCATTGCAAAAGTTAGCAAACAAAAAGTTCTTTAACTGTATACACAGGAAAGAGTAGACTATCACCTTCCTGTATGTATGTGTATATATTTCAATAAAGATTTTACATTAAAAAATTAAGTATCTATCTGCTGACATGTAAGTATGCCCAATATATACTAAGTTTAAAAACCAAGTATCTAAACTTTTATAAAATCCAAACTTTATAAAATTTAAAAAACCATTTTGTGTGTGTAAGT